CCGTTGCGTCAAATGAATTTCCTTTAACTGGTGAGAAATCCATAAATCAAGTTTCTTGACATAACCAAGGGTTTTTAATTTGTTTTCAATGGATGTATGCGACACATTGAGCTTCTCTGCAATATCTCGTGTTGTGCTGTGACGATTTGAATCGATAATGGCCTTGATATGGGTTTCATCCACTTCGACTGGGCGGCCAGATCGTTGTGAATTTTTCAGTGAAAAATCTCCGGAACGAAATCTTTCAAACCAATTTCGACACTGCCTTTCTTTTAAGGCTTCATCTCCATATACGACACATAACTTCTTTTGTACTTGCGATGCGTTCTTGCCTTTTCGGAAGTAATACAATAAAATGTGTCGGAAGTGCACGTCCTGTTCTTTCATTTTTAAATTTGGATAAAAACAAAACTAAAGAACTAAACAAAAAACATTTTTACTAATTAACCTAGAAGCCCATACAGTAAGAAAAAAATATTGGTTAGTTACTCTGGCCAAGTTAACAAAACAAAAGAAAGTATAGAGTGAATCCGTCAACAAAAACGGCAATGACTTAGTTGCCAACCCAATAATATGTACATACGTGGAAAGGAAAGAGAATACATGCTTAACAGTAGCCATCTAGGACTTATTTATACCAATAAGGCTTCTGCTACATATCAGCACTACAATGGAACCAGAACAACTCTTGGCTTCAAGCCGCATGAGCGAGCATAAGCACTTAAAAATAATTGACGCTCTTGGTTCTGGCCACAAACCAGTCACTGCCAATATTACCATCGATTTCCAAAGCACGACAACGAAAGTGTCAACTTAGTAATTATAGAACTTCAAGAAGGCTGACTTGCCTAGATTCACACAGCTTTTTAGAAAACGAACTTCACGCAAGTCGTATCAACTTGAGCCAACATCCTGACAAATTTCGCGACGAAATCACGAATATCAAGGTAAGAGGCGTCTTATCTGTGTATGGGAGTCATGTGCAATGGGTTCGGAGGCGTGAGATTGTAAAGCACAAAATTTCTCCCTACCAGGAAAACGACAACTTGCCCTTGCGTATGGGTGGAATTTCCTCCTATGCCTACGGTCTCATGATGATATTCTATCTCCAACAGAAAGGCTACCTGCCCTGCCTCCAGACAGTAAGAGTCATTGAAATTGACCACAACTTTCTTCACTTTCCATCTATTCACACATCTATTTACCCACCCTACCCCACCCCACCCTTACCTGTCAATCTATCCATCTGTAGTAAATTGGTGTGCTTTCATAATCACTTTCTCGCTCTTATAGGCCTATGTTGACGATACAAAACCGATCATTCGCGAACACAAAGACTGCAACGCTTGGTTTCAGACTGACAGGGATGTTGTCGTGAGTCATCATTCCTTCTAATAAAGCTTTCCAATCGCTTCCCATGGATAAGTTCTGTGCAAATACTGTACATTCCCATGGATAAGTTCTTCAGCACCCATGAGTAGACCAAGACATCTGAAAACGCAATCTGGTCTAATACAGAGAGTCATAGAACTGAAGAAAGCATTGAATTACAAATCGATGACAAACCATAAAGCCTCTCTCTAATTACAAATCGATGATAAACCAAAAAGCCTCTCTCTCTCGCATGAACCCATTAGCAGACATGTTGCACCCAACTGCTCGACTTCTTCAGGAAATCAAACACTCAGTGCTATCAGATCAATGGATCCAAGTCTTCACTGATGGGTCATACATGGAAAGGCTCACTGGTACTTGAGACAATCAATGTCAACTATCCTGGTCATCAGTGGCTCCAAGTCTTCACTGATAGGTCATACATAGAAAACCTAGTAAACGTTGGTGCAGGTGTCTTTTCTGAACTCTGTTCTTCCTTCGCAGCTGTGGGACACAAAAAATCCGCTTTTGAAGGAGAAATCGAGGCCATTAGGAT